TCGGGGGTGGCCCGGCCCACGCAGCGCGGAGGCTGCGGGCTAAGACTCAGCGAAAAGATTTTGTCTTCGTCAGCGCCAGGGTGAGTCATGGCTCGGTTATGCCTGTGTCGGGGGTGGCCCGGCCCACGCAGCGCGGAGGCTGCGGGCCGGGAGGGAGCGGGGCTCCCTGAAAGCGTCCGAGGGCAGTTCTAGTCTCGGAAGAAATGACATTTTAAAAATAAACCCTGCGGTAGGAAATCTACCCAGGACCGCTGACTGTGCTGACAGCAGCCGGCTTCGCCCCTGCCAGCCCGGCACTGGGAGGGGGAGGCGCCTGTTCCTTATGCAGCAGCCACAAGGCTGTTGGCAGGATGGGAACTGCAGAGACAGGGACCCCAGGGCACCCAGGGGCGCCGCAGGCTGGCCACCCCGAGGGTCACCCAGGGTGTAATTAAAGGGGCTGCATAGCTGTCGCCCAGGGCACGGTTTGCTACTTGTGACAATGCAGGGGAAGCAAAGGGCCGGGTATAACCCCAATTCCAAGATGGGACTTGTGCACTGACCTGAGGCCCAGCAAGTTCATAAGGGTGCGGAAGCGCTGCCTTTAAAACCAAGGCCACAACCACGCCTGACCATCCATCATGCCCAAATCCCGCCCTGCAGCTGGTTACGAAATCCTTCACTTCCTGTCCTCAGCTGCTGTGTAGTGTTGTTGGGCCCTGTTAAAAAGAACCCACGTTCCCCCCCAGCAGTGGTTGCATTTCAGTGGTGGGCAAACTGCTCCCTGTGTTGTCCTGTGCCTGCCTTTCCTCCAGAAGCGGGAAGCATTCTGCCAGCTGCTCCAGCTGATGAAAAACAAACATTCCAAGCAGGACGAGCCCGACATGATCTCCATCTTCATCGGCACGTGGAACATGGGTCAGTGCCACGGGGAGCCTGGGGCAGAGGCTTTTGGGAGCTGCCCTCCGGCCGCATGGGGCACATGGTGATGTGGGATGGTGCCCTATGGGAGTTCCCCTCAGCCCAGGGAGCATCACAGGGAGTATCCTGCCTCACTAAACAGCTCCCACCTAGATGCCTTGAAGTCTGAGATCCTACCTCCAAGCCAGATATCCTACCCAGCTCTCCTTCAGCCCTCTGCTGTTGGGACATGAGGAATTGCAGTCTGTCTTAAACAGGATGCGTTTTTAAACAAAACAGCTGTAGGCTCCAGGCACTATAAACAGGCTTCCACACCTCTCAGGTTCCACCTTTGTCTGCCTCCTTTACCAGGAACCACATGTGCCTGGAACTCCATGCAATACCTAGTGACATCTAGTGGCTAAATAACTTTCTGCAAGTGAACATCTTACAACTCCCCTAAGTTAGTCATAGCTCTACTTTTCTGTACCAGGTTCTCCTCCTGTATTAGCAACATGGGCAAGGCAGGGTGGTTGCTACCTCCGCACACCTGTCTGCAGCCCTCCAAGGCTGAGAACACATCCCTGTGTGATCCCAAAGCCTTGCTTCCTCTGTGAACATGCCGTGGGCATGATGTGGTGGTTCTTGCCTGGCCCACATCACTTCAGCCTCTGGGCACCTCCACATCGTCAGTGTATTTATCCTCACATGCTCCTGTCAGGCTGGGCACGGCTGTTTCCCCAACTGTACAGAGGGGAAACTGAAGCACAGAGCAGCTAAATGACCAGCCCAAGGTCATCATAGGGAGTCGGTTGCAGAGCAGGGAGTTAAACCCTGCTTTCTGAAGGCTCAGACTGGTGTCCCAGCCAGGGGCCTCTCCTCCTGGCACTAAGCAAGCTGACCCTCTGTGACCACGGCTCTGTGGTCTTCCTTTCTCGCAGGAAGCATCCCGCCGCCCAAGAACATCACGTCCTGGTTCACGTCGAAGGGCCTGGGGAAGACCCTGGATGAGATGACAGTCACCATCCCCCACGACATCTACGTCTTCGGCACCCAGGAGAACTCGATGGGGGACAAGGAGTGGGTCGACTTCCTGCGGGGCGTGCTGAAAGAGTTCACGGAGATCGAGTACCGCCCGGTACGGGCTGCGGGGCCGGGGGCTGCGCAGCTCTGTGCAGCCGCACGCTGGGCCATGAGGGGAGGCACCTGGAGAGCACGAGTTTCCCAGCATGCAGTGCTCCGGCAGCACGGCTCAGATCACGGTGGAGCGTTGCATGCTGGGATGCTGTCGTCTTAAGACTGAGGTTGTCTGCAACCTCCTCTGTTCCATGGTCCCAAGCATCCAGCCTCCACATCCAGGGGATCCCAGGCAATGGGTGGCCGGAGGATAGCAGAAGCGCTTGGGGAGACGGTTTCTACGGTGACCGTCCTCTTCAATCCTCCTCCTTGCTGGATGTGCCGTTTCTACCTGGCTAGGAGACAGCCTGGAGCCGTGAAAGTCTGTGGCCCCTGTCTCAGCCCTTTAACCTCCGGGGTAAATATGCCCACTCCCCTAGGCTTTGCTTTTGGAGTGGAGGGGGGGGATGCAGCCACATTGTCTTTGGCCAGCATTTCCCATTCGCCCCCCAGCATTGAGAGCGTTATGCACTGGCGGCTGTACTCCCTCCCCAGAGGTGGCTGCATTATTTGTGCAGGCATGAGATTTCAGTGGGGCCTGGGAATCAGGCTCCCAGCTTTGTGCTTCGGGATCCTTCTGCACCAGCAGGTGTTTCGTTTAACAGGATTTGGATCCCTTTCCTCCCGGGAGAAAGCTGATTAGGGCTGCCGATTTGACACGGCATTTTTGATCGGGAATCACGGTGCGGTCGTGGTCAGCTCGGGGGTCCCGGGTTTCGTGACTGCTCGGTGAAAATGTCCCAAGAGACGAGGGGCACCAAGCACCTGCAACGGCGCCCTCCGCCCTGGCACAGTGACCCCGACCCCGTCCTGAGGCGGGGGGGCTGGAAGCTGAGCCCTCCCCCAGTCAGAGCAGCTCTTGTTCCCACCGGTGGGGCCAGGCCTGTCTCCCCCCTCCAAGCACTGCGAGCTGGCGTGGCAGGATCTCTGCCCCGCTCCTCTGTCATGATGCGGGGTAGGGGTGTGTAGGCCAAATCTGAGCGCTGCTGTGACCCCACACGCCTGGAGGGAGGAGCCAGGCCCCGCCCAGAGGGACAGGTCCCAGGGCTGCGGGGGGGAAATCCCGAACTCGCAAGAAAGTCACAGACAAATGGGAACATTTTGCTGTCCCTGACTCTCTTCCTGCCAGGACAAAGCTGTGGCTGTTAATATTATACAAGACCCGGCAACTCCTTGAGGCGGGGCCCCCGACCTTTTTAACACCAGTTCACTTTTTGAATTTAAGTGCAATCCCAGAGCTACCTCAAATATAAATCCCAGAGCTACCTTTGCCCCGCCTCCTTCCTGCCCCTTCTGGGAGGCCCCGCCCCTGCTCACTCCATCCTCCCCCCTCCTTCATCCTCACTCACTTTCCCCAGGCTGGGGCAGAGGGTTGGGCTGCAGGCTCTGGTCCTGGAGGAAGGGATCTGGAGTACGAGAGGGGCTCTGAGCTGAGCTTGGGACAGGCAGTTGGGGTGCTGGAGGGGGTTCTCGGTGCAGGCTCTGGGACAGTGTTTGGATGCAGGGCTGCTTGGGGTGCAGGAGGGGGGTCATGACCGGGGTAGGGTTTCGGGATGTGGGCTCCAGCCGGGCATTGCTTACCTCAGGTGGCTTCTGGGTGGGGGAGCAGTGGGGCTAAGGCAGGCTCACTCTGGCCCTGGCCCTGGACCACTCCCTAAAGCAGCCAACAAACTCCTCCCAAGTCCTGTTGTGCCCCCTCTCTGCTCTGTGGAGAAAGGATACAGAGTGGGACGGGGACGGGGTGGGACGGGGGCACCTTGACATCAGCACCCTCCTCCTCCTCTCCTCCCTGCACAGCAAGTAGGAGGGTCCCTGGGAGGGGGGGGATCTTCAAGGCAAAGGGCAGGAGAGGAGCAGCAGTGGGGAGGGGGCAGTTGAAGTGCCGGCACTTGATGGCCTCCTGGCCAAACCAGTCAGGGTCCCCTGCCAGAGGCTCCAAGATCTACTGGTGGATCCTGATCGACTGGTTGGTGACCCCTGCCTTAAGGCGAAAAAGACTTAGGAGGGAGAGAAGCCTCCTGTAAGTCTCTGAGTTGTGCCTTGGTGGTGTCCTGGTTGGACAGGGAAAGCGGGGAGCAGCGGTGATCCCCCGTGTCTGCTCCGGAGACAGACTGGACTACAATTCCCAGCAGCCACTGTGGCAGCTTGCAACCTCGCCAAACTTCATGTAAAGCTCCGTCTGCAAACAGTGAACGTGTGGGTTGCGCCGTAGGTTCAGGGCCGGCGACTTTAGGGGACGCTTTGTCCCACCCCTTGGCCAGCGTCTGCCTCTGAGCAGGGCTCCGGCACCCCCACCAGGAGAGCGGCGGTATAACCCTGTCTTGCTGACCCCCTGCCAGATCGCCATGCAGTCCTTGTGGAACATTAAGATTGCCGTCCTGGTGAAACCGGAGCATGAGAACCGCATCAGCCACGTCAGCACCTCGAGCGTGAAGACCGGGATCGCCAACACGCTGGGTAGGGGGTCGATCGAGGCGCTTCGGGGGCTAGATTAGGTACCTGGGACAGACAGACCTCGCCCTCTGTACTTACAGCTGGCAATGGGCGAGTGAGGATCCCGACCACTCCGCATAGGGCCCTTCTGCGGGAGTGGTTTGGAGCTCACACCTTCTTTTTGTTCATAGATTGGGAGAGGAAACCAAGCTTTCCTGCTTGTTCAGCTCCCAATTGATGCTTAACTTCCAGCATCAAACCGAATGAGCAGAATAAACTGAAATGAAAACATATATATTCTTGTTGCATCTGTAGAAGAGGCCTCGGTTGCCCAACGCTGCTTTAGCACGTCAGCAAACGTGGCCAGTGACTCTCAGTGGCTTGACTGGTTTGCAAACATGGACTTCTTCATACTACTTTCTGCAGTTAATTTCAACAGTGTTCATAGATTATAATACATTAAGGCCTTAACATAGTCAATTTCAAATTGAATTTTAAATAGGGTTTCTCTTTTAAAAATAAACTGGCCTTTCCTTTACATTTTCAAAGCCAGAGTTTATATTCATTGATTTTGAACTCTTTGGGGGTTTTTTTTGGTTTTTGTTTTATCCATCCCAGTGGGCTCCGTCGCTCCCTCTGCTCTGGAGGAAGCCGGCTTCAAGGGCTCTTCGCCAGCTGGGTCTCTCCTCCCCGCCCGTCCCATTGGCTTTGAGGTTTTTCTGCTCACTCCATGCTGCCAGGGCCACTTAGGCCACTGCCATGGGCCATCAGTGCCCCGAGCATCCCTGGGAACCATGCTCCAGCCTGGCCTGAGTGGGGTGCACCCCCTTCCCCTCTTTGTTTTGCAGGCAATAAAGGGGCCGTGGGTGTCTCCTTCATGTTCAATGGCACCTCCTTCGGCTTCGTCAATTGTCACCTGACCTCCGGCAACGAGAAGACAGCCAGGTGAGCCTAGGGCCAGGGGCCCGTTACCTAGCCCTGAGCATGGGGGGCTGGACCCCAGGTCCTTCAAGCACTGGGGTGAGAGGGGAGCTGCCGGTAGTGGCTGCTCTGAGCTCCTGCCCTGGCCGTGCATAGCACGTGACCGTGGCTGGTGGCTCTGGGGAAGTGCCCCTTTTGACCTCCGGCAACGAGAAGACAGCCAGGTGAGCCTAGGGCCAGGGGCCCGTTACCTAGCCCTGAGCATGGGGGGCTGGACCCCAGGTCCTTCAAGCACTGGGGTGAGAGGGGAGCTGCCGGTAGTGGCTGCTCTGAGCTCCTGCCCTGGCCGTGCATAGCACGTGACCGTGGCTGGTGGCTCTGGGGAAGTGCCCCTTTAGTCTCCGCAAGAGCTGGCTGCAGGGGAGTGGCTCTGTGCCGCCAGGGAGAGGGGGCATGCAGGCCGTCCGTGTGCTGGTGCTCGTGCTTGCTGACAGGCGTGGCTTGCTCCTGGACACGCCGGCTATGGACACGCTCGCACCAGCCACGCGCCTGCTCGTGCTTGCTCTGGGGTGCTAGTGTTTGCACGCAGCCACTTGCACGCCCGGACTTCACGCATGCACGCACACGCTGGTTTGCAAGGGTTCGTCCCCACGCACACCGCCCCCCCGCCCCCGGCACGCAGTCTTGCAGAGTCTCTGGGGGTATGTCTACACTACAAAGTTAATTCGAACTAACGGCCGTTAGTTCGAATTAACTTTGTAGTGTAGACATACCCCCAGAGACTCTGCAAGACTGCGTGCCGGGGGCGGGGGGGCGGTGTGCGTGGGGACGAACCCTTGCAAACCAGCGTGTGCGTGCATGCGTGAAGTCCGGGCGTGCAAGTGGCTGCGTGCAAACACTAGCACCCCAGAGCAAGCACGAGCAGGCGCGTGGCTGGTGCGAGCGTGTCCATAGCCGGCGTGTCCAGGAGCAAGCCACGCCTGTCAGCAAGCACGAGCACCAGCACACGGACGGCCTGACGAGGACTAATGCCTAGTTCGAATTAACTAGTTCGAATTAAGGGCTGTGTAGCCACTTAATTCGAACTAGTGGGAGGCTAGCCCTCCCCAGGTTCCCCTGGTGGCCACTCTGGGCACAACCAGGAAAACTCCTCTCCTGTGCCCCAGCCCCGGGTCCTTAAAGGGGTAGACTGTGGCCAGACGGCACTTGACACAGCCAGCCCTGCCAGCAGTCTGTGCCCTGAACCAGTGGCCCCAGGTTGAACCAGGGAGCCAGTGCCAGCGAGCTGTCCCCTGCCCAGTCCCCCAGCACCCCGGGGCCATCCAGGGGCCGTAGACGGTGCGCACCCTCCTGGACTAGTGCGGAGGTCATGGACCTCATTGAGGTTTGGGGGCAGGCCCCCAACGTCGCTCCCCCCCGCCCCCTCCTCCCCCCCCCTCGACCGACTCTTGGGGGGCGGGGCGGTCCGTGCCAGCCTGGGGGACAGCGAGCCGGGACCGGAGGGCCCTGACCCGGGCACACCGGAGGAGCCACCACAAGGAGTTCCAGCACCAGAGTCGGCAGGGTCGTCCAGGGAGACCGTACCGGGTAAGTAGTTTGAATTAAGTAGTTCGGGGAGGGGGGGAGGCGGGAGGGAGACCAGAGACCGTGCGCGTGGACCATGCCTTCCACGGATCACGCAGACACCTGTGCACGTGCGAGCACATGCCATGCCACCCTTGGGCAGGTGGCTCCAGCTGCCATGGCCCCTGGGTGTCACGCCCAATAGGCACATGCATGTGTGAAGAGACTGACATGCTCCTGACCCCGGGGCGGGACACAGCAGGGTGCTTTCCCTTCACATGTCCCCTCTACACGGAGGCAGGGGACATCTCCCCCCCGGCCACACTATACATGGCACAGGGACATGGGTGCGGTCTTGGGGCAGCTCCCCGTCCCGGGGAGAGCCAGACATCCTGACCATGGCCTCTGTACAAGCACAGCGGCTCTGACAGTGCAGGGCATGGTCGCCCTCACATCGCGGAGTTGGGGAGGGGGCTGGGCATCATCCTCTGCATCCCCAGGGAGAACTGACCACTTCTCTTCTCTCTC